AATGTTATTATATCTGTTTTCTTGTTCTCCCCCTTTCTGAAGTTTAAGAATGTACATCCCATCCCGTTAACTACAACTGTAACTATGTATGCATATATTAAAAAGTATTAATAATTTTATCAATAATTAAATTACTGAAATTAGTAAGTTCGTCTTTATATACTTGTGTGTTATAATTAGAAATAAATATATCTAAAATGACCAAATTTTCACATCAGAATTTGTCCACCTGTCAGATATAAAAAATAACCAAGTAATTGATTTTCAATATCGAACTTAAATAAGAAGTATTTGTTGTTGAGTGCCCATTGAAGGACACCGCCTTTCGAAACCTAAATATAATAATAAAACTGACGCAAAAACGAGTTAAAGACAATCGGTTTGTATATTGTCTCAAAATTTGAGCTTAATCGGTGCAGAAGTTTTTGAGTTTTTGAAGCGTACACAAACCAACTTAACATTTTTATGTAGATAGATAACTGAATCGTTTTAGATTCACAAGACTATTAAAATTACATCACATCAACCGCTTTTAATAGTCTACTACTGGACATACCCCTCTACTTAGAATGGAGGTTTCGGCCTACTATGCCACGCTGGTCAGACGGGTTGGTATACAGTTTGTGTTAAGTTTTCCCACTCTTTGCAGTGCTGTTGTCCTGCGTGGTTTGTTTCCTGACTATTACAATACTTAGCAAAAATATCATGTGAACTAATATGTATATTATTTTCCATTTTTGTGTTTTTTTTCTTCCTTTTATCTACTCGTAGTTATTTGTTATTTAAAATTTTTTAGCTACCCTATTTTTAATTGTCTATATTCAGTCTATTTACTTTTAATCTTAACATCATAATAAAAACAGTTCTGTAATAAAAAACAATGTTATGTCTACGATTTTTTTATGAATTAGTTAAATTACAGATGCAAATCTGTAATTTAACAAAATAACTGCGGTAATAGCTCATAACTGCACGATCTATAAATAACGGATAAGAGTTAATCAGTATTACTTCTTATCCGATATTTTAATACCTATACTCTCAAGAACAGTATATATACTGATTAACTATTATCCGTTTTTTTAATACCTATACATTTGCAAACCAACTTATTGTTGCGGTATAAATATAAACATTAAACAAAATAATAAACGACAGTAGTCGATGTCATATAATTGGTGATCATATAATTTTATGAAACAAAGATCACTTGCCGAATGTATGTACCTAAGTGCATTCCTTCAGAGGGCCTAGTGTGAGTTTATTTCACATCAACTCGCTCTCGATGATGACGTTTTAACAAAACGACTGACATATTTTGCTGTTTCTTGTTTGATATACATATAAAAAACACGGGTTAAAAAACTTCCATACACAAACGAGTGGAGGCGGGTGAAGACCGTAGCGATATCTTAAAAAATATCGACACAATTGACAGATCGACGTTCAGTTCTTCAGTTTCTTACATTGTTTTGTTAAAATGACAGTCCACTGTAAAATTTGGTCTTATTTCCTTTATCAGTACACCAGTCACCAGCCAGTGAATTATAAAAAGGAGGTTAAACATCTGCGACCTATGTCTCTCATTTGTTTTAATTGGTACTCATTTAAATACCTTTGATATACTGAGCGATAGTACGGTGATATGTTAACGATTGGTATAGGTACATTAGTCATAGCAATAAATTGAGAAGATCATCAGGGATACATATTATTATTCTATCTGCGCGTACATTACGGAGTTCAAATAGTTGACTCCAAAGAGAATCCTTTAGAAGGCACTATGGATGATTTGTATTCGGTGGCGATATTTGAGATAGGCTAATTATATTCATGTCTTATGTATGACACTTGAAACCGATATTAAAGTTTTGTTGCTATGAGAATTATAATAGTTGAATTAGTAAACAAAATGCTTCTTAGTATCTACGCTATATTTAAGGGTGATGCATTGTGTTATAAGTGTATGAAATTTCATTCTAAAATATATTAGGAACATAGGTATATCACTTAGTTCTTGTTTCATGTTGTATTCGTGTGATCTACATATTGTTAATATAAACCTGGAAATACTTTGTGTCTTTTACTTTTTTGTATACAAACTCGCTCAGTACATGTCACCAGACCTCTTCTAGATATAATTTCAACTTAAGATAATAATTTCTAAATCAAATATTGTTTGATGCTTAGCTTCTCGTTAAGGTTAAGTCAGATATTCGTCTAAAGTGGCAACTTCCACTTTTTTAATAGACAGATCTTTAGTACGAATTGTATTCACTACCCAAGTGTAACAAATTATCTACATGCTGTGTAACTGTAATATTCGTGGGAGAGCTATGATTATGCACAAGTGGGCCACCTCGACCGGAGTGATACCACTGCCTCACGGGAAACCAGTTCTTTCTTGCTGCGTCAAAGGGCGGCAGCATACTTGTGACTCTATGTTGCAGGTCTCCATGGGCGACGATAGTTACCTACAATTAGAAGGACGATTCTCTTAATATAAGTTCGGTTCATATTCAGTTCCGATCAACTCTCGATCTCGCAACTGTCTATTTATTTATTTATTTATTTGGAAACTTAACAGCTATGTTACATATATCATGGGTGAAGTTAAACATTATTTAGACTCTTAGCCAATAATAAAGTTTCGCGACAAGTAAAAGAAAATTGCGTGCACCACTTAAACATAGGCAATTGTAGGTATTATATACTATCTATAATTTAATTTATATTAGGTATATTGTGCAGAGTGAGAAGTATTCCAAAAGAAAGCAACTTACAAAAACATTGTTAATTTGGATTCACAAGTATGATTGCAACTTTTTAGTTATTTGTCTTTTAAAGGCAGATTTTATTTGTCTTTTTGAGAGGTGGAAGATGTCAATCTCGTCAAAATTAATATTGTAACAGCTAGGCAAACAAGTGAGAACAGAATTCTTAGCATAATTGATGCGGTGCAGAGGAATACTGAACAGGCGCGTATGTCTAGTGCTCGTACGACGTTTGACGTTTGACGAGATTGACATCTTCCCGGGTGCATTCAAGCTAACATTAGAGAGAAGTTCGATACTATCAATTTCACCTCGAATGCTAGAAAGGTCATGTCTAGTAACACACGCCTACTAGATAGAGGCAGTAGATCATAGCGCTTGCGGTCGTCAAGATATGATAAATGTCGTCTCCTTGTCTTAAAATTTAGATGCCTCACGAAACGTTTTTGAATTCTCTCAATTTTATCTGTGTATGTAACATATTGGGGAGACCAAACAGGACTGGCATAGTCAAGTACACTTTGCACGTATGCGCGATAAACAGTTTTAAGGCAGTTGATATTCCTAAATTTAGCGCACGTACGCATAACGAAGCCTAGATTTCTGAATGCCTTACTGGTAATGGTGTCTATATGACGAGAAAAAAGCATTTTAGAATCCAACACTATCCCCAGGTCTCTTACATGATCTACCCTAGTGATAACATTATCACCGAATTTGTATCTGTACTTGATAGGACTTCTACGACGACTAAAACTTATGCACTGACATTTATCAATGTTAACCGTAATTTTATTGCGTTTATAAAATGAGAACAATGCGTCCAGATCTCGTTGCACCAACTCACAGTCAAGTGTAGATTTAATTTTAAACGATAGTTACTTACAATCAGAAGGCCGATTCTCTTAATATAAGTTCGGTTCATATTCAGTTCCGATCAACTCTCGATCTCGCAACTGTCATAAAAGGTATTTTCGTAGTAAAATAATAAAGTATTACTAAGACGTAGATCAGATTCAATTTTCGACAACAATACGACATAATCACAACAGTCAACGTTTGGGTGAATTCTTTACTACGAAAACACCTTTTGTGACAGTTGCGAGAACTTTTATTACGAGAGTTGGCCTTCGGGTGACACGTCAGGTGGTTTGCCCCCTTTACATTAAAAAGATTATGCAATTCTTCATCGTATGTATATACACACATTTGTATTCAGACGTATTCACGTTTAACGCTACATAACGTTTTTTACGCTAAATAAGTGAATAACATATTATTTACTCTACTATTTCCTTTAGTTATCCACTTGTACTTGCCATCTATGTAGTATTGCTTATGTATTGGTTTCAGTGCTGTTCTTTGATCTTGTGGATAATGTGAATACCGCTTAATGAGCAAACTTAATGTACATACATGTGATGGATATGAGGACATCAAAAGTTGTCCAATGTTTGTCTTCTTTTACGAGTATTTGCTTAATGATTTAGTTTTTTTAGCTATTGTCTAAGTCTCAATCAAACTGAAATGAGTTTAATGTATATATATATATAGGTATATATATTTTAAGTTGGTTTGTGTACGCTTCAATAATTCAGACAGTTGAGCTGAAATTTTCTTTTTCAAAGACTGATTTTATCTATTTTTTCTAAGCGTGACAGGATACAGATAGTATTTCATAAGATGCATAAGTATACGCTAACATTACATTACATTATGTAGTCACTTAAAGTTATGCATTCGTTTAAATATTAAGAAATTCTTCCATCTTCTCATGACTATTAATGTTTTCCGGGGTCTCTTCAGTTTAAAGTCTTTACTCGGTAGGCAGTTTGAAAACTACTATTGAATGTTTATTATTCGTACTAAACAGCTAATTCGTTTTACATATTCCAATATTTCGTACTAAACATTTCAATACTACTGTTTTCATTTATGTTTTCGATAAGTAATCTTAATAACGCCCTCGATAACCTACATTTAATAATTTACTACCTACCATTTAATTCAAGTCTCATATGAAATAAAGAAAAACTGTATTCTTTAGAAAGAAGTCCCTACAAAAACTATATGAACTTTTAGCTTTATTTAATTTAAAATTCATTAGATTCCTTCAATGGAAAATGTGAATTACAAAACTGGTGCATTGAAGTTTTAACTGTAAACTCACTAAGATAAGAGCCGTTTCATCGTGTACAGAATTTAATGAGTTAATTTTTATTTCAGTTCATTTCAAGAATATTTGCTGTGTTCCGAGCAGACGGTGTTGAGGTCTTGCGGCGATGAAGCAGCGATGTTCACTAGCAACTTCCTGAAACGAATGGCTGCAAATATTATTAAGGTACGTATTACAATGCATGTAAACGTACGTACATACATACAAATATTCAACTGGTAGTCCCACTGATGGTATGTTATACATTTATATACTAAATGTTATATATTTATTTATAGCCACGATATACTAAATGTATTAAATGATATACAAACCACTGAATCATATTATATCTCATTGAGTGATTGATTAATGGCCATTATATACACTACCAATATCTCACAAATTATCTTATTATCAATAATTGTCTTCGTGAAAGAACTACGTGATATAAAAAAAATACGAAAGAAGTAAGCTAACGATAAATTCAAGTTACATAGATGCGAGCGAGCTGAGAGGATTCTGCGGCAGAATTTACGCCGGACAGCAGATTGCCAGAATTTCTGCCGTCCGGCTTCCATTCAGCGCTCGACTACTGTCAAAAGTTACAACTAAACATATAATATACTACTAGTTATGTAGTAGTATGTGAGCTTTGACAACGTCCAAGCTTCCAAACGTCGAAAAAAAAGTGTTTGTATATCGGTATTTGCGTTATTATCGAGTGCCATTTCTTCGATATAATGTGATATGAATATGAAGAGCCAAAAAATCCCTATACCAACCCGTCTGGCCAGCGTGGTATAGTAGGCCAAAACCTCCATTCTAAGGAGAGACCTATGTCCAGCGGTGGACTGTTAGGGGAAAAAATATAATTGATTCAGAAAACTCAGTCGATCATTGTTATAAATAAAAATGTTGTTTTGTTCACAGAACTTCTGCCTAGTTTACAGGGGGGAAGAGTGCAGTCAACCAGACAAGGGAACGTCTTTATCAAACGACATGCTTCTGATCAGTGTCGCAAGCCTTGCGAACATAGCATTTTATGCATATAGCAATTGGGTTGCTACGTAATTTTCTCTACAAAAACACAATGTAGGATTTATATTTAGAACATTGTGGGGTGTGCAATTGCCAGTAAATAGATTGTAAATAATGACTGATGCAATGTGCAATCAACTTGAAGCAATGAATGCGGGTGAATGTTTCAGTTCCTCGGTTAAAAACCCATAGCTACTATTTATAATAGGCATAGACTATAATCTCATTGTTTTAAGCCTCTTTCGTCGTCCATTGTAAATTATGTAGGTAGTATTAAAATGAGCACTGAGTGTTTACTGTAAATAATTCCACTACGTCGTTGCCAAATAACTTTAGATATTCATTTTGATGTTTTCATTGGAACATTATTGCTCAAATATGTAATAAATTAAAATCATTTGATCTAAACAGTGGGTGAAATAAATTTCTTGAATTGTTGATCAATTTATGTGTTATTACAGAATATTTAATTTTTCTTTATTATTAATATAGTGTGTAGTAAAATTAATAAAGGATGTTAGTTTCCATTCTAAGGCTAGCGATAAGCGATAGCCTAGAACATCCTGTGATAATATATAAGGTTTAAAACACGTAAACATCTTAGAGGAATTCTAAAACACATTGATATAAATTCAAGTCAATGAAGTCTGTTCAAATTCAAATTAATGAATTTAAGTAACGAAGTCCTCAAACATTTTTGTATGATAAGTAAAAATGTCAAAATAATCTCCTGTGCTTTTCAAATGTTCTCTTTTTATTATAAAATTGTTTCTAATTTTGGTCAAAGATAATCTTAAAACTGATTAAGGTACGTTATGTAAATTCAGACTTACCTTACACACATATTCACGTTAGCTTTTTTATCTATGTATTTTTTAAGTAAAAATGTATAATCTTGCGTATAATCTTAATGTCATATTATTGTTATTAATACTTTGTTATAATGTGTGTAGATTCATTGTTTTATTGATAAGGGTTAAAGCTATTCCTACTTATATATTTTTCAAGAATCTTGTGTCATACATAATTGAAAAAATATTTTACTAAATAATCTTATTTATTATTTGGGATTACAAAAAGAAAGAGTGAATAGTGCTTATTCGAAACATGTAGATCCTATATGACGTTGTCTTTTATGTTTTTAGTCTTTTTTTTTAGTGCGGAAATCCCCTCGAATACCACCCGCCGGTGGTTATGTCGGACACGAACAGACTAAAAACCGCAGGCCGTTTCGGGTACTAGTAGCTGGGAATCAGATGTACCCTAGAAAGGAAACTTCTACTCTTCTTCTGTACCCCGACTGACCTCGGGCCATCTACGGCTTGTAGATGTGTGGGAACCCCGTGTGTGGGAACCATGATGTTCCCATTCTACTCTATTATGGAATAATTATTGATGGTTTAGAAATTAGAAATGACCACTATAAAACAACCCAGTACCTTCCAATGTTGTATTTCGATCGAACCTTTTTTAAGGCCCTCGCTTTTTGATCATGCAGACGAGGTTACTCCATGGAGGTTATTGTTGCAGCTCTCCCAAATCTGACCATTAAAGAAAATAGTAGTAATACACCGCATTTTAGTTATGTCCGCTATGACCTCTGCTCAATGCGCTTATACAAACAATTAAATAATTTTATCTACGACATGTGTTCCTATCCTCACTTTGTTTTAACATAATAGGCCATGTTTTTATTTAGGTATTAAAAAAGGATCTTTAAAAGAAATTGCTAGTAATTTAAATAATAATAACGCAGGTATCGCTTTTAGCAACTAGATTCGTATAATCCAACAATGTTCCCGTGTTCTGTAACAACTGTATAGAAAATACTAAAAATACATCTACTATTTAAAATAAGAATGAACGAACTGTTAACTAAATGTGTTTTCTAACATTTTACATCTGTTTTCTACATCCAACTGTTTTACCTCCAATAATCCCTAACAATAAAACAAAAATGTCGTATTCACAAAAACTTATTCTGTACCTTAGAATTATTTCGTGTGTTATTAACTACATAAACAAAAGTGAAATATGTATTAGCCTTGGAATTGTTAATAAATCAAAATATATAAAACTTTTAAAAATATAAGGAGATTATATTATATGAAAACGAAATTATTAGTCATTATTGTTACTTTATTGGAATAATCTTGTTTTGTTATACGTATTACACATACGTACCTATGTTTAAAATCCTAACTATGTAACTGTATAGTGTAATAAAATAGTTTGAAACATCTACATATCATTTTTATCTTTATGATTTATGTGGAATTTTTCATAGTAAAAATGCACAGCATTCTATGTAATTAACATGTGAGCCTTCCTTTGGCTATGTTTTCCATCAATTCCGCCAATAAACAAAACTGCCAATGCATGGAAATGAACTATTTGATTCTTATTACGATTCAATTTTTTTAGACTCAGTTTAATTAGATTCACAAGATGTTCACAAACAGATGTAATATCTTTATATGAACCCTGCATACGCTCAGCATATCGTGGTGTATAATTGTGTAGAGAAAGATGAACAAACTTGTGATTGGCTGAATTAATTGATATCTTAGAAGTTGTTTCTAAGTTGTGTAAGTTTTGCATATTCACGCATCGCATAGCCAACGGATGTTATCTTTAATATCTGTCAATGATATTTGAAATATAATGAGTATTGTAATATACTAGTATGTTCGTATTACTTATTAGATGAAATATATAAAAGACATAGTCTTTTAGAGATTATTGATCTGTGAAAATAAATGAGTTGAGAATTGGACACATAGGTTTTTTTTATTTTTTCATGTGATTTCACCCAAAGAAAAGTTTAAATAGGTACCTTTGAGTTTTTTTATTTTTACCAAAAAAATAAAAGTACCACACAGTACGCTTGACAAAAACCGTTCTGGTTTGTCTTTTAATCGTTAAAATTAAGTTAATCTGTTGTTAGCTATTTTTAATTTACACACTATATTTATGTCCTAGTACTTTTGCCGGCGAGTATTAGATGCAATAGAAAGTAGCGATGTTGAACCTTATTGCTGATAGTGTCTAATGAAAGTTTTTAGCTAAAAGCGAGGGGCCGGCTGTAAAGGTAAAACAAAAAAAAACTACTTCACCGTGAAAATGTGCATCGGATACTGGTAAAACGAAAAAGTCGATCAAATTTGACCAAAAAGTTTCTACTTCGAAGTCTATTTTTCAAATAAAAACCGAAGAGTACTTCTGGTTCTATCTTTGTGTCTTTGTTCGTTGACCTTTTGTCAAACAAACTTTGGTACAACACAAAGTTCCATTAAGGAAAGCGCTCTGAGTCTTTCAGAGTACATGTGAAACGGATATATCATGCTACAAAAATCCTTTGAAGTCAAAGTACATACACGTTCTAATATTATAGAAAGGCTGGTTTCATATAACTTACTAATGTTTTACTTAGAACAAAATCTATGGATTTGTCATTATAAACTTGCCATACTTAAATTCGTCCTAATGGATAACGTATGTATTAATATAGAGAACGAATGTATTAATATCGATACGTCAAAAGTAACAATAAATGTAAAACAACCCTAATACATACATATATATTACTAGTTGCAAAACAACGTTTGCCGGGTCAGCTAGTTTAAAAAAAAATGTAGTGAGGATCACCCTTACCTCCGGGAGGTATTAAAAATAGCTTTCGACCTATTCTCAGACCTACCAAATATACACAAAACATTTCATAAAAATCGGTCAAGCCGTATCGGAGGAGTTCGATAACAAACACTGTGACACGAGATTTTTTTATTATGGTTAGGAATAAAAAAAAACATTCATTTTTCCAAAACGTATCCAGCATATTTTGCCGTTTAATCAATATATCCCTGAGCAATTACCAGGTTCCTCACTTTTGTCACCTGTGTGCAAAGCGGCTCATTTCGAAGGGACGACGATCGTTAGAAGAGGCGTCTTTTTTCTTTATTTTTGCCAAAGCCTGTGAATCATTCTGATGGAAAACAGCGGAGATTGTCGATGCGGAGTTGACTGATATTGCATTTCATTATGTTTTGCCGTGATATTAACCTAATTGAGTTCATTCGGTTTTATACAGAGTGTTACAAAAAACGTGCCGCCATTAGTTACGATTGTACGAGTACAAGAGACCCGTAAACCGATGAAACGCCTATTCATTATGCATAATCCTATTTCTCTCCAAAAACAAAACGAGAATCTTTGAAATTGACATGAAAATTCATATCCCTTTTAAATGTTTCCCTCCAGAATTAGGAGGTATTGGTTAGTTGGCCTCACTCACTGTCAAAATAAACGAAAACATGCTTAACACCGTTATCAGGTGACGCCGTGTCGTCACTTCAGTCGAGCTGGTCAATATGTGCACAGGGTTAGGTCAGGTCTCTCCAAGAATTTCTATGCAACTACTTAAATTTTACTAAAGCTTTCTCTAATTCCTATTCAATGTAGACTACTTGATTCCATTCAGCTATCCCACTAGTAATCGGTGAACTACTAAGTTAACGAAAAGGTGTTATAACAACGTATCCAACGACAATTCACTTCGTTGAGAGTAATTATGTAGATAGTGGAAACGACCTGTAAGTATTTTCGACATCTTTCGTTTAATATCTGGACTGTACAGAAAATGTGCTACTGCAAGAAGATTATAATTACAATAGTCTCACAGTTTTCTTTCAGAGTTATCTTCTGGTTTTCATGTTTCCTGAATAATTTTCTTTACCTTACTGTTCCTGTCAGGGCCATCTAGAAAATGTTTGCAATTACATTCTCAGTGCTTCTGTTTAATTCGAAAAACCATCATCAAAGAGTTTAGATTAGTGACTAATCTCTTTGAACTGTTTTATGAACATTTATATTAACATACTTACAAAAATGCCAGTGTTGTTACATCTAAGTACTTATCACATAGTAGTTAACATGCGCCTGGTGTTTAAACAAGACTAATGAGTTGATTCTTTACGATTTTATCATAAAAAGCATAATTCTGCTTACCAACTAAAATTAAAAAGTTTTATTCT